TACTAACATATACAAATGTTGACACATTCTCTTTTAGGGGATATATCTGGGGAGGCATTGTCATTTGTTGAAGACTTGTGGGCTGCTGAGTAACCAATTATAAGGAAATTGACTTGCAAATAGTTTAGAATGAGTGAAAAAAAACATTGTTACTGGTAGCAATGTAAAAAAAATGACTTAAAAAAAATAGTTGATTGTCTTAAGAAACATTGTTAATGGTAATTAAAAAAAAAAAAACTGTGCCCACGGAGGTGTCTGTCACACGAGGTGCCTCTGTGTGTGCACGAAGGATTTTTTTTTTTATATAATACTACCAATAACATTTTTTTAAGTATACAAATTTGATTAAATAAACCAACAAAATTTTCACAATCCACATAAAAAAGTGAATTATTTTATGTTGTTGGAGAGTTACCATAAGAGCAAAACCAAACAAATCCCAAATTCACTCAACAAAATCATCCAATCACCATACTCAAGTGTCTAATCTAAAGCATCGATCTCAATTTTAACACTCAACCCACGCAGTCAAATATAAAGTTTATTATATATGTTCACATCTCATAAAACCCATTAAATTCCAACCCCAAAATCAAGAAAATTCTCTCCAGCCAGTTGAAAAGGTTCGTGAAATCAGAAAACAACTCCTACAAGATCTCTCCTTCAGAGAAAGTGAAAAAGCCTACAAATTCAGTCGAAAACAAAACCCAGAAGAAGAAACCAGTCAGGAATGTGACAACAAAAACCACTGGTTCTATAGCAAAGAGGAGACGAAAAATGACGATGAAAATGCGAAGAAGACGAAGAGGCTGAGCCGGTTAAAACTCCAAAGGATTCGAAGAAGAATTAATATAAATAAATGGCTATATAATGATACAAAGAAAGTGGGAAAATATAATCCAAACCTGAGGTGTATTCTAAGTGCACGAGGTTGCCAAATTCTTTTAGGAGCAAAAAATCTATTGTGAGCGTTAGCCTTGCAAATGAAAAGGAATGAGAAGTTTGCAATGGGAGGTTGCGTGAGAAAATGGAGGAGGAGTGGGTGGTTGTGTGAGATAATGAAGAAGCATGAATGATGGTGTGGAAAATTTTGAAGAATTTCAGGGAATAAAAGGGGGGGNCCCCCCCCCCCCCCCCCCCCCCGCCCCCCCCGCCCCCCCCCCCCCCCCCCCCCCCCCCCCCCCCCCCCCCCCCCCCCCCCCCACATTTGTACGACGATTGAAATGACGACACGTGTCTGCCTTTACTTTAACTCTTTTAATATGTACGGATCTTTTATCTAGCCCTAGAACCACTGATATCAAACTCAAAAGTTGGGTCATCAGGCTTCCTATCTCCCTTGCATACTGGGTAGCAATTTCTCTAAAATAAATAAATAAAAAAATTATAAATGATTTGGCATCCGTTGATGAAAATTTATAAATTCAGTTAAAGTCAAATATTAATTTCAATCTTATATTCATAATTATAACTTATTATTATCAACGAGTTAATTTCACAAATGGTCACTGAAGTTACATGAAAATTTCAAAACGGTCACTAAAGTTTAAAAATTCCAGAAACGGTCATTCAACTTTCACCCAGTTTCAGAAATGGTCACTGAAATTAGTTTTAGGACTTTTATGT